GAAATATCATCACCTCATTTATTTATATAGTTTTACTATCATTTTAATTAAAGGTGTGGTAGGTAAGTTTGAGAAACCGGCTCGAGATACACTTTTTGTTATATAACATCCCTATAGCAATTTACTATCATTTTAATTAAAGGTGGGGTAGGTAAGTTTGAGAAACCGGCTCGAGATACACTTTTTGTTATATAACATCCCTATAGCAATGAATTCTCTTAAGTGCTTTGACAACAAATCCATAAAAAAATGTCATCTGTGGAAGCCGTAGTACTGTAAAAAGCACGACCAATCATCTGAGCCGGCCCGGCTAAAATAACTGGATGGCCTACCTGCCTGTCAGCCTTCCATCTGTGCACAAACTGATCTCGTGCCCTCATTGGTCATGTGCGCGTTCGTGTGTGTTGGAGGAGGGGCTCTGTAAGGAAGTGGCAGATTTTTTCCGGCTGTGTATTTTCAAATTCGAGCGCACTCGAGCTGGTTTCTCCAAAATTACCTACCCCACCTTTAATTCTTTAACTTGTGCGATATGAAGTCATTTTGGTTTGCTTGGCTGACTGCAGTTTGTTGAGGCCAGGTTCAGATTCTGAAAGTGAGAGACATGTTTAAATTGAATTAAAATGTAATTACAACTGTTAACCTGAAACTCTTCACTGCTCCATCACCAGGGCATCACAACCTCCATGACATTTTAAATAAATTGATTACTCACATCTAGTGGACATTTATTGCAACAACACCTACTTAGAATATAAGATCAGGATTTCTCATGTTTTGTAATTATGTTTCTCTTGAAAAACATGGAGACATGAAACTATAAACACTTGCATATGCCCTACATTTTTTCTAAATGTAAAGAGTCCTTGGTCATTTATATTTGGATCAGCCATGTCTATTAATACATTAAATTGAGGTTTCACCTGGCAAACACTATTGTTGCTTCAAGACTTGCAAAGTGAAAAGAGAACAGCAACAAATTGCAAAAAGGGCTTAATATATTCAAAAAGTCAAATGTTTTTCCGTGTGCAAATATAAACGTTAAAATACGTAATTTTTTCATGAATTATCATAAAGGGTATTGATTCATTTTCTATCAAAAGACAAAAGTGTCTACTCTACATCATTGATCCAGCAGTAATTCTTAACACTACTGTAAAAATAATACTGAATGTCGATTAATCGGTTAACAGAAAGTTGTTATTTAGCTACAAATGCCAAACAATTCCAGCTTCTACAATATTCATGTTGAAGATGTTCCCACGTTTTCTATAATATTATAGAGCAGATAAATCAAGTAGCCTATACCAGCAGATAATGTTAGCTAACAAAGCAAATAACGTCTGGTTAGAGAACCTTATACTAAAAGCAGGCTTAATAATAATATTTTAACAGTGAGAGTAAATCCAAAAATTGACATTATATCTAAGATATAAATTGATTTGCATTTAACCGTGTGAAATAAGTATTTGATCCCCTTGCAAGTGATGGGTAAACTTACAAAATCGGCAAGGGATCAAATACTTATTTCCTCCACTATACATACTGTATATACAGTACAGTCAAAAGTTTGGACACACCTTCTCATTGAATACTTACATGGAATTATGTAATAAACTAAAACGTGATGAACAATCCAGAATATGATTTATATTTGAGATTCTTCAGAGTAGCCCCCTTTTGCCTTGATGACAGCTTTGCACACTCTTGGCTTCTCTCAGTCAGCTTCATGAGGTCGTCACCTGGAATGGTTTTCCAACCGTCTTGAAGGACTTCCCAGAGGTTGGCTGCTTTTCCTTCACTCTGCAGCCCAACTGATCCCAAACCATCTCAATAGGTCGGTGATGGTGGAGGCCAGGTCATCTGACGCAGCACTCACTTTCCTTCTTTGTCAAATAGCCCTCACATAGCCTGGAGGTGTGTCTGGGGTCATTGTGTTGTTGAAAAACAAATGATGGTCCCAGTAAACGCAGACCAGATGGGATGGCATAGCGCTGAAGAATGCTGTGGTAGCCATGCTGGTTAAGTGTGCCTTGAATTCTGAATAAATCACCAACAGTGACACCAGCAAAGCCCCCCCACACATCACACTTCCTCCTCCATGCTTCACGGTGGAACCACACATGCAGAAACCATCCGCTCACCTTCTCTGCGTCTCACAAAGACACGGAGGTTGGAACCAAAAATCTCAATTCAGACTCATCAGACCAAAGTAGAGATTTCCACTGTCTGATGTCCATTCCTTGTGTTTCTTGGCCCAAACAATTATTTTCTTCTTGTTGATGATCCTCAGTAGTGGATCTTTGCAGCGGTTGGACCATGAAGGCCTGATTAACACAGTCTCCTGGCGTTCGATTGTTTTCGCGACTGCACTTAAGGATACATTCAAAGTTCTTGAAATTATCCCGATCGACTGGCCTTCATTTCTTAGTAATGAAAGTAAGTAATGATGGACGGTCGTTTCTCTTTACTGAGTTGAGTGGTTCTTGCCATAATATGGATTACAACAGTAGTCAGATAGGGCTTTCCAGTGTGCACTAACCCTACCTCTGCACAACACAACTGATGGTCTCAAACACATTCAGAAGGCAAGTCATTCCACTAATGGACTCTTGACAAGGCACACGTGTTAATTGAAAACCATTCCAGGTGACGACCTCATGAAGCTGACTGAGATAAGCCAAGAGTGTGCGAAGCTTTCATCAAGGCAAAAGGGGGCTACTTTGAAGAATCTAAAATATATAGGTCACCCAAGTAATGAGCCCACTTACCTTCAGAAGATTCTTTCAAGTGTACCCAGGAATGAGAAACCTTATGTCGTCACACTTTGTCGGTAATTTAACTGACACAGCTGTCCCACTGCAAAAAATTAGATTTGTTTGCATTTTCATCTTTAAAATATAACTCAAGAGAAGGATGTATCTGTTTATATCAGCCAAATATCAAAAGTGACTAGTACTTTTAACATAATTTCCAACTTACCTTTTTTAATGGTTGGTGAAATGCAGCTTTCTATCTGCCTTCAAATGTGCTTGAAAACTAAAAAATACTGAGGTTGAACATGCAGTCAAGATAAAGTAGAAGCTCTTGGAGGAATGACTAAATACAGATGGCATTGTCTTATCAAATTGTAGAATTGACCAAATAAGCTTTTAAAAATATAGCTGTCGACCAAAGCACAGTTTTCTATTCGCCTCCAAGACTTAAATAAATACAATGATTTTTATTTTTGTATTTACTTTAACTTTAAAGTACTTCCAGGGCATTGTCTGGACCCCCTATGTAACCATATTATGTTGGACTGTATGTTTTAAGCTGCATATACCAGTAGTGCAAAGTAACTAAGTTTACTCAAGTATTGTACTACTTACTATTATGACATATATATTTGTATTTAACTTTACCATTTAATGTTACTTTATACTCCAATCCACTACATCTCAGAGGCAAATATTGCACTTTTTTACTTCACTACATTTCTATTACAAGTTACTTTTTTACAGATAGTCACACATGATATGCTGATATGGTATAATGCAATACTGTACCACCAATCTACACAGTATTTATAGTATCTAAATTGGTCCACATTGACAAACTATAATCCTAATATGCTCTTATTATATGTATTAAAACAGATACATATAATGAACATAATAATATAAGATCCGATAAGATTCTGCACTTTTTCTTTTGATACTTATACACATAGCTGGTGATACTTGTGTTCTTTATGTTATTCTGAAATGGGCCATTGAGCAGAGTTACCCAAGTTTTTCTTTGCACAACTACAGTGTAGTGTGTATGACATTACACCTTTTAAATCTTGATATGCATATACAGCATTATGCAGTGCTGTAGTACCAATATACACAGTATCTATAGTATCTAAACTCGTCCACATTGACAAACTATAATCCTAAAATGCTCTTATATGTATAAAAACAGATAAATGTAATGAACATAATAATATAAGATCCATTCTGCAACAAGGACTCTAACTTTTAATACTTGAAGTGCACTTAGCTGGTAATACTTATGTTCTTTATTCTGAAATGGGCCATAGTGCAGCATGAGTAATAAGACTACCAGTAACAGTCACACCCAGCACCTTTATAGCAGTGGCATACCTTAGGCATTCCCAGCAGGGTGACTCTCCTACATTGTGCTGACAGCTGACCTGTGTTGTGGGGAAGTCGGGAGAGTTTCCAGCCTGTCTGCAGTTACTCTCACTTATCAAACACAACAGTGAAATAAAGAGCTTTTTCTCCAAACTAATCCAGCTGGACTTCGAGCGCTGACTGTGGGCGTTTCTTTACAATGTGGGGCATTTGCTGCAGAACTATGGTAAGTAAGGCAATTTTCGCTGAGTAGGTTTATTGACATTGGTCTTAAGCCAACACGAGACTCTGATATTAATATTGGTCATTATTGAAGTTAAGAACATTAATGGTTGTGGTGTGTTGTGCTAATTGGCTAACGCTGATTAACGGCAGACGTTAACATGAATGTGTGCTAGCTGTTAGTAGATAACAGGAGTATGTGCTAGCCTAGCTGTTAGCACGTAACATGTGTACTAGTTGTTAGCAGGTAAAATGAACCTGTGCTAGCTGTTAGCAGTTCAAATGAATGTGTGCTAGCTGTTAGCTCGTAACATGTATTTGTGCTAGCTGTTAGCAGGTAAAATGAAGCTGTGCTAGCTGTTAGCAGGTAATATGAATGTGTACTAGCTGATAGTAGGTAATGCTAGTTAACCTTTAGCTAAGCTAAATGGGTGAAAGGTGAATTATGTTTAGCTACGATACAATATAGCGTTAGCCAAAAGACTCTGAAGCACAATCTTGACTGAAAATACACTATTCACTTCTACCCGGTCCAACGTTAAGTCAACGTATAGTGAATTAAATACAGAAATGTAGATGGGAAAGAAGATAACACAAAGTTAGGTCATCCTCAGACTTATCTTGCTATTCGGCAAACTCACTGGAATAACATGTCTGAAGAACATTAAGTACGTACATTTAATGTATTCAGTTTATCCAGTCCATAGGATAACAGAAACTTAATCTGAATACTTTTGACATTTATTTTTACCAATGTTATTTGCTGTTTAGTACTCTTGTTTACATAATGGCACTGTTGTCAGGTTGAAAATAAGGACAGACTGACCCCTACCGGTACCTCGTTATAACTGCAACCAACAACTATTCTTTAGATATGGTCACAATTTATCAGAAAAGTATATTTATTCAAGTTTTGTGCTGACTTGTACGGAGGCAAATATTGTACTTTTACTCCACTACATGTATTTAAACACTCACAGCTACTTTGTACATGTAAAGTAACATGATATGCAGTATACTGTATCTACACAGTATTTCTAGCATCTAAATGTGTCCAACACTCATGAACAATAAATGCTTTTACATGTATAAATAACAGGAACACATAATTACCAAATTATTATAATACTGTGATAAGATCCATTTTGCAGCAGCATAAAAAACAAGGCAATGTACATGAGAGAAATTAAGACACAAGAAATAAACAAAATGGCATAAAAAAGTAAAATAAATATATATACATGTGGAAATACAAGTAAGTTAACTCAGCATATTTTAGTCATGTCGGTTTATTTAGCATTATTAAAAGACAGTTGACTAGGGAAAGGATGACCACACACTTTCACAAAGTAACACCACAAACATTTATTAAACGTACACTGCTTTGTCTTCCTGTGAAGGTGGGGAGGGCGAAACCCTGCGGCCTCATGAAGCTCCGTCACCTGGTGAAGCCGGTGTCTGTGACTCGAGTCTCCGGCAGATACCTGACGCACCAGAAGGGCCTGCCCACGCTGCCGGTGCCCCCCCTGCAGCAGACCTGCGAGCGCTACATCTCGGCTCTGGAGCCCATCATGGAGCTGGATGAGCTGAAGCACACCAAAGAGCTGGTGGACGAGTTCCAGAAAGCAGGAGGGCTGGGAGAGAGACTTCAGAAAGGTCTGGAAAAGAGAGCACAGAACACAGAGAACTGGGTGAGACTTGTGTGGGAAATTTGTATTATTATAATTTTTTTATTTATTCTGCTATTTCAACAATTAGACAGCTTATACATCCGAAAAACAAACAACAGGAGTAGAAAAGGGGGGGCAGAAAGCATATCTTATACAGAGGAAGCCCTCCCGTTAGTCATCCAGTTGCAGGATAAAGAAAAAAAAGAGAATTCTGTAATAAAATACTCACACACAGATAAACAAAATGCTATGTATACATACACATACA